ATGCTAGATTGTGACTCATCTAAAGAGCAGGTAGAGGTGCCAGGTGCCAGAGACCCGAGACCAGTTTCGGAGCTGTCCTATGACTATGGTCAGGGTTTTTTCTGGACGACTGAAGCTGATCCTGGACCACCATATCAAGTAACCTCTTTTTTTAGTGATTAATTTTCCCACAGCACAGCCATACTTTACCCAACACAACAGGTGGCGAGTGTAATTTCAACGACTTCCACATCAAAAGTGGAACAACAGAAGGAAGATACGGCTTTCTTGTCTAGTTATGCAACTTCTTGCGCCATGAGGAGGGATTGATCTCTGTAAGAACTGTTCATGTCTGTTCATTACAATTTCTGACTGATCTGATTAAGCTGCTCATTTTTTTATTTATTCATTTTGTGCTATGGCTGACAAAGGATGAATTACATTATTACAATTCTGTACTATTTTTTAAAATGAATTAAAACCAAAACACTAAAAACTAAAATTGTTTTAAATGCTACAAGTGAATTTAAGCATCATATAACATATAGTATGAAAAATGGATTTTCATTATGAAAATTGCCGAAGATTACATTTACCAGTGTTAATAAATTAGTGTTAATTAAATAGTGTTTTTTGAAGATTCAGTTAAAGTACATGTTCAATGACGGCAAAGGACCCTTTTCCACATTTCAGTCAGCAAACAGTCATCATAGCTTGGTAAACTTCTATAGTGGTGAATGGGGGACTGTAGCAATAATATTTTTTGCGTTCACATTTGCTCCAATAGTAAAACTGAATAAATAAATAAATACAAATTTCATAAACACATTTACACTGTATTGATTACGGCAGTCAGAAGAGAGAAAGATGTATTTTTTTATTTAATGTCACCGTAATATAACACAAACTATAAATTCTTCAAATACAAATATTAAAAGAAAAAACATTTTACGATCATTTATGATGTTAATAACTGTGAATCACGTCGTTACAGTCTGTGAAAAGGGTTCATTAAATACCCCAAAATTGGCTAATACATCTTTTTTTTTTTATGTTGCCTGATAACTGACATGTTACCGATTTACTGTGCATCCCTAATGAAAAAGTCAAAGAAACAACCCATCCCCAACAATAAGATACTTAGATCTTCCAGCATGAAGACAAATCTAGTCTTAGGATAACTTTCATAAAGCACTAAGCTTGATCCGCATGCAAAACAAATGAATACTGCCAATTACAGTTCATAGCCATTCAGGTCTTGCAGATGCAATTCAAGATGAGCGTGGTCCTTATATTATATTCAACAAACCTGTATCTATTCATAGCATACTTCTAAACAAAGGTGGACCATACATTAAAGATTTTACATAACGGTGGACAAATAATGAACCTGCTTCCACTGAGGAATGACGAAAGCCACTCCTTACAAGAGAAGCAGAAAGGCACAGGGCATAACACGATAATAAAAAGAGTACGAAAATACGTGAAATAAACACAATCTTTCTGTACCAACCACTGACAACGCACCAGTTACAATTCTTAGTTGATGTATAAAATTAATTAATGTAACGCTGGCTGAACAAGATTTTCTCTTGATCTAATGGAAAATTATGTACTTCAATTATCATCATGACTCATGATGCTCCGAGATTATTTTTTTCAAGCAGAGGAAAATGTATGTGGGCTCAAATGATCCTGTCCTGCAGCTTCCATTGACTCATCACTGAACGACATTTTGCTTCCTGATGCAAGTTCAAAAGCACTTCAGATGGACATGGGTGTCGAGCTATTTATTGTTTTGTTTTTTTTATTGGTTGACTCTCTGTTTACTGTGGATCATGCCTTGCCCTATATTACAACAACAACAAACACTCCATCCATAAACATAGAATTCAGTGTTGAATGTTCCCTTGTATGTAAGCAGTGCACTTATGGGCAGACATTTCTAATTCACACAGGATGCTTTCTTGTGTCCATCTGTTTTTTTGTATAGTTTTTCTATGTTAACAGCCCTAGACAGACATCACAGGCACTGCAGTTGACATGCTGTGTCATAAACGTTACTTAAATGTTGTAAAGCACGGTCTGTGCGAACAGCCCCTTTCAGTGCATTAAAGGAGATCCATCTGAACATATTGGAGGCTAAATTCAAGCAAATCTCTCTGGAGTCCCAGCATCGTTCATGTGGCCAGATTTGACTAACTCAGCCTGTAGTAGTGAAGTCTCTGGATTGAAACTCAGGGCAGTACTAATTTGCACACAGCCACATGTCATATAGATCTGTATGTAACAGAGCTGAAACTAACAATATGAAATATAGATGCCATGTGTTTCTGAAGAGAACCTGTTGGGTGTAGGCCGACATGAATATGGTAACATTCATAACAAATACATAGAGATGATTCTTCAATCAGAGGAAGTTGCGTGTCACCTAGGATGATTCTGAATAATAAAATATATAAATATATTGTATAATTTTAAAAGATATGTTATTTTTTTTTATTTCCTTTTTTCTATTTTGGACCTGTTGCCTACCCATACCGTTCATAGTCGCTTTAAAAAATCTACTGTGGCCTCTTTCCCTTTTTTATGACTTAATATTACTTAATAGCCTCTTCCAGTGGTCCAGCCTGTAATGCTACCTCTGTCTTTACAGATTACAAGAACGAAACTAGACTCCAGTGTAGATGAAATCACTGTACCTTCCAGAACAGCACCGGGGACGCTCGCTTCACAGCCTTTCCAACTTTAAACGCGTGTCCTCTTCATATTTTGTCTCGACAGCGAAGGAACACGATAATCCTTGAAATACAAACTGTTCTTTTGCCGTTACGTTCCTCCGGAGCCAGCGACCTGCTCTACTTTCTGAGGTGCGCTCGGTCGCTGTTAGTTCAGAACCACCGTTGGCTGAAAACACAGTGCTGTCCATGTCTTGCCTTTCAGGTGGAGCTCACATCGTGACAGTGTACCTGAGTTCAGCTGCTACGAGTGTTTCTTACAGACTGGGATTCCCTTCAGTCTCTCTCTCTCGCTCGCTTTCATCAGGACTGACAGCCACCTGAGTTTCAGCACTGTCGCACTCTGTAACCATCTACATTATCTTTAGACTAGGAGAGGAAACAAACAAACGAACTTACCCAAACGAAGCCAAATCCTGCGGCGACAGCGCGACCATTTACGGAGAGATAAAATAGCGAAGTTTTTGGCGTAGTTAATATCGCGGCTGGGCGACCTCAGCGGTTCCAGGGCTGCTGACGTAGGATGATGATAAACGCACATTTGCATAAGTGTCAAGTCCTCTGTGATTGGCCGAAGATGAATTCGTTTGTTTGGAATAACTGGGACGCCCGTCTGAGTCCTCAAGTTGAGTGTTAGCAAAGGTCCATATCGTGTACTTAAAATCTTACTGGTAATCTGGGACATAAGAGCATTGTACGCAAAACGTGAAGTTAGAACGATCAACAAACAAGATGGCCGTTCCGGGACGTCAGCCAATCAGCGAGGGCTTTACATTGACTGTGAATCAGCCTATGGGAGTGGAATGAGTGGGAGGAGAGAAGTGGAGAAGTGGGGAAAAGTTGCAGTCGGGGTCTCTTATATTTGATCACCTCTGGTGGATCTTTTGCGAACTGCTTCGTGTAAACACTGACATGACAAATCCAGCAGAAACTGGAGCATGCAAATAGAAAACGTATAATCAATAACCAAAAGGACTTGTTTTATCTAGCACCAATTTATTTTTAGGTTCCACAGCAAATCTCTCGCGCTCTCTCTCTCTCTCTCTCTCTCTATATATATATATATATATATATAAATAAATAACTGCAAATATCAGAATCACTCAAATTTACTTTCACTACACACAAAATCTGACCAGTTTCATTGTTTATGCATTTATTTGCTTATAACCGTTTAAAAAAAAAAAAAAAAAAAAAAAC